ACAGTCAGCAGGGAGACTCTCCCTGACTTTACTGGAGCAGGATTGGACTCTGTGATTTGCTTCCCTCCCAGGCCTGACTCTCCGTTTTTTCTGTATTAAAATTAAGCTGTGGTACACTTTAAAGGCATACATACTTGGGTGCTTGACAACGAGTGCTTCTGAGAAAAATAGACGCGAGTATGCGGCGTATGCAGTCATTTTGCCTATTCTTAATGTTCACCATTTCAGCATGAAGCGTGCAGCAATCAATTTTCCATTTCATTTTCTTAATTAGACCCCTTGTGTTCTTACTATTATATTTTTTTGAAAATAGTCCCTGTATGTCATTAATATCCTTATGGCTCTGGGGCACTTCCAGTTGGGTATAACTTTTCACCCACCTGCAGTCTGGGGGGAGAGCACTGCTGACTGAAAGGATTTCCTTCCCCAGATACAGAGATGCTTTGAAGTCCCAAAACAATGACTTTCATTGCTTTTCCCTTACACTGTCGGTTCCTATAAATTGGTGATGAAAGTGTGTGGCAGCAGCAGAGGACTTTCGGTCTCTATCTTTGAACAAAAGGAAGCCTGGATCAAGTCTGATTTTTGCGTTCAATTTAGCTTTCTGCAGTGGATTTAATGCAAAATGAAGCTGGCCCAAGAATAATACAATGGATTGAAAAGGCTAACTGAATTAGCGGGCTTAGAGGAATACATTTGTAAAGTGGCAGAAGTCCCCAGTCATAAAAAGGTTTCTTAAAATGGGATTTACTGGCTAATCACACTGATATTTTAGCATGTTGCCAGGCCTAAAAAATTAGTCATGTTTGTTTATTTTGGTAAAGACTCTGGTTTAGGCTGTCAGATGGTTATTGTGCTAATAACAGGAAACCACCTTTTATTTAACCAGAATCATAACCACCCAATTAGTGGAGCTGAAAAGTCATCCAGAGCATATGAGCGATACTTTTTTAAGCTTAATTCGACAAATGACACACGGGCCGCCTCTTAGGGTAATTTGGTATCACCTAACCTGACGAAAATGGTATTTCTCTTTATGAAAAGCTTCTGTGAAGGAGTTGCTTTTTTTAAGGTACTCCCACAAAAGGTGCAACTTAACAGTTTATCTCTGTGCACATCTTTCTAAGGAAGAGTTGGAAAGCGGCATTATAAGGAATATATGGTGTCCATCTGTTCTCATGGAGCTCTCGGCATTGAGGTGGATTTGTTTTTTAATAAAATGCAGTTTACACATTTCCAAATGAGGCATTCTGTGTTTGTGGAAAAGGATAAACTGTTACCTTCCCTTGGGGATTGTGTATCCCTGGCCTCCTTGAGGCTAGAGAATAGGCCATTGGAGAACTCCCTCATTACCGATTGTCTCAATGCAGAGGAAGGGCAAAGTCTTGGTAGCTTTTGATAACCAGTTTCAGCATTCAGCAGGCTTAGCTATTAGTCATGCATCTTAGCCTTTCCCTATTTACTTTCAAAACACTTAATAAAAATAATAAAAGATTAGGTATAAAATGAAATATTTGTTTGGTACACAGCACCTCGGTATCTGCAGTTTCCACACACTGCGGTGGTTCAGTCTTCTGGGATATTTTGTGTTGATAGAACCATTTGAATTTGTTACCAGTATTAACATAGGAAGCCCTGGAAAAGATAATTGTAGTTTCCTTAGCTGTAAAGGGCTTACTTACAAATCTGGCTTTGGAAAGTTATAGCTGATGAAATGCAGTTCAGTGGGGTAGTATTATAATCCTACCTTTTAGCCTTCATCCAGCATTAGTGGTTTATCTCAATGGGCATAAAATTAGAAACTAGTTCTTCTTGTCATACAAGTCTGTGGGACTACAGAAAACGACAGATTTCTTTACCGGGCAGGGAGACAGGCTAAAGGCAACACGCTTTTAAAACGATACAGATCGTGTTCGGGGTAGAGACGCTGCTACTTGGCAGCAGCCTGCGCAGCGCTTGGCAAATCAAAGTTGCAAAGGAGCAATTTTTCATTTAAAATCAGAATCGGTGGCAAATACTTGTCACAATTAATAGGTCTGGCTGTTAAGTAAGTAGAGAGTCCTGCAGGAGGGTGCCCACATAGCAAAAAGCCAGTCGTTGCCACCACACATTAAACAAGAAAAAAAAAAGAAAAGTTAATCACTCTTCTTTTTTTCTGCAGCTGATACTTTCACCCTATATAAACCACAGCCCGAGTTGTGAAATCCTCTTTGCAAAAGCTGCGTCCTGTCCCCTCGCCGAAACATACCTTTCGAATTCATGTCTTCCCGTTTGTAAACAAAAGAAACTGTTGTGTGTCTGGGTTTTTTCCTAGCAGAATGGAGCAGAGGAACATCGTGCTGAGCGATTACAAAAAGCAGCAGAACGGTTTAGAAATCCCGTTGTGTTCAGCAAGGATTCTACCGTCAGAAAAACTCAGCTCCAGTCTTTCAGTCAATACGTGGAGAGCAGACCAGGTAGGAGAAAATATAAAACCTGTTTTCCCATCTTATGATTTAATAATATTTAACAATAAATATATGAAAACCTGATAATGTAAGTCCACATTTCAATACATAAATATCAAGCTTTATAATAATTTTACATGTCTTTCCCCTTTTTTCAAGAGATGAAAAGGCAGAGATCAATACAGGAAGATACAAAGAGAGGAAATGAGGAGAAGGCTGCGATAACTGAGACTCAGAGGAAGCCATCAGAAGATGAAGTGCTTAATGTATATTAATTTTTTGTCTGGTTTCATGATTGCTGATAATTCCAAACTGTATGTGGAAATAGTGCCTTTATTTGTTAAAATGAGATGTTAGGTTTTTTTAGATGTCAATCTCCAGTGCATTCAAAGCAGAGTGAGAGGGGTGCACTGTTGAATTAGTCTGCAGTGTGGTGATAATTGTCAGATAAAAAAAATGAATTTTTCAGAGTTCCACAGGCCCAGCTTCCTTGAGACATTTCCATCAGGGCACTTCCCATAAAGAGATTCCAGTATTGATCTACCGGGAGGATTTTAATTATTACAATAGCAGATACCGCAGAGCTGCAGTTAGAGGGAAGAGTCACATGAGACCTGCTAGAATTTCTCAGCCAACCCATTTTGTTGGCTTGGGTTAATGGGTGTTCAACCTTTCCATTATCCAGATCAGCCGTGAATTACTAGCTGAATGATGTTTGCATTAATATAATATATATGGTAATTTCTTCACTTAATTAACGGGGAGGTTCAGCTCAGTAGGGGTATGGGCTGATCATGTGTAAAATTGATTTGTGAGGGAAATATTTGATAGACCGCAGGGAGAAAGCTAGTTTTGATGGACAGCTGTGGGACAGAAGCAGGAAGAACAAGTTTTAACCTGATTTTTTTTCGTCTGGAAACACAACACAGCCTTTGATGGTGGTCATTTGTTGCTCTCCACAATTTATCTAAACACTTTTGTCACTTTTGCTGAAGGAATCTAGAGCTGGGTAGAGATTTTGTACCGGTGTCATATCTACACCGAAACATCGAACTTTTTAGGAGCCGTAGTTATTTTTAGCCCAGTTGTACTTTTACAGAGCTGAAAAGGTCTGGCAGAGTAAGCTCACATTATATATGCAGATGATACACATGAACTCTTGGGATATTTCAGTCTGACACAGCATTTCTTTTCATCTTCTAATAACAATTGTTAACAATTATGCATGCTGACATTAGGGAAGTTTTCATACTATTTTCAATTAATTATAGTTGATGAAAGGCAATATATTGCACATCACCTCGACTCCCCAGCCTGATTTTTTCCCCCCCCCCCCCCTCCCGGAACTGCCCCTAAATGCCACCCCCCCCCCCCCCCCCGCCTGTTTTTTTCCCCCCCCCCCCCCCTTCAGGAACTGCGCTCAGGGAGTTTTGTTGTTGTTGTTTTTCTGGCTATATGACAGGTAGAGAAGGGGTTTCCATTAGAGCTGATACTGTTGGCTGTTGTGTAGGAAGAGAAGGACCAAATTAATGGGGGCATAATGTGCTTAAATTCAGATACCCCAAATTTCAAAGTTCTGTGCTCGTTACTGGTCCTGGGAGCTCAGCCGTGCCATTAGTCTTCACTTTGAACATGTCTTTATTTGAAATAATATGCTGATGTGATTATTATACCTGTTGCCTGAATATGAAGCTGAATTGATGATTTCAGACACATTTACAGAAAAACAGTTGAAAACGTTCGGTGAAAGTATCTGAGACCCTTATGCAGCAACAAGTTAGCCTCCAGTAGGGAAATAAAAAAAAAATAGCCTCCATAAAACCGTGTATATTTTTCTGTTCCCAAAGGACAGTGATTTTAGTTGCATCCTTTACAGAGTGCAGGTGAAACATGGAATCATTTTGCCAGTTTTTTTTTCCCCAACTTTAAACCGTTCTCCAAAGCTCTAGGGCAGGAGTAGGAGGAAGAAGTGGATGGGGTTACTCAGAAGGAGTAATATTTTTTTTCCTAACTTATGCAAAAACATGCTGCAGGAATGACATTTCAGCATTGTATACATCTCATAATAACTGGGTACAGCCAAAACACTGTGTGACAGTTGTTAAGCCACTTGAGAATAACTTGGAAGTACTAAATGACTGTTCTTGGGCTCCTAGAGAGACAGCCAAACCACTTTGGAAATATTTGTGTGGTCATCTGTGGGGCAGTGCTGAGAAGTTACAGGGTACAAGACGCAAATGTGACTCATTAGTGTTTCCACAACTTTCTTGGTAAGGTTCAATACGATTTATCAACTCGGCATCCCAGGGCAGCCTCCTGGCTGAGAGTGAGCCTGCGCACAGGCAGGACAGCTCACGTTAGTCCCTGTGCACCTGAGCGTCTGCCCAGTGCCGCTTGTCACCACTTCTCAGGATAAGAATCACAGTTAGAGTAATTAGCGGTATTTTTACAGATCACTATGTAGCAGGGCAATTGCCTGTAGTCAAAGAAACCCAGAGAGGCATGATAGCCCAGGCTGGTGAGCCTCGGCATTACAGTTGACCCAGAGGAGCTAAATAAGCCACGGAGCTTGTGTCAGGTTTGGTTTTAATCTCAAACACCCACTTTTTAATTGTCGTTAGAGACTTTTGTGCTAGTTCTTCTAGCCCCTAAAGTTAGCGTTTTAAAATTGAGTAAGACCTGAATGGAGTGGAAATGGGACGTTAAATAGTGCTTTATTTGGATTACGTTTCCTTTCATTATGCTTTGTTACAGCAGCTTTTATGTACTTAGAAATAAATTAGAGGAATTTCAGAAAGCCAGCCAGGTAATAAAAAACTGCAAAATCAAATGTTCCCTAAAGAAAAACTGGGGTGTTTTAATAAACAAATAAGGACATTTGGCAAAATTGTAAAGTTTATGAAATGTAAGTGTTAGCTCTTTGGTAGCGAGCATGATATTTGGTTGTTTAGGTAAGTGCCTTACTAAGTGTTTGTGGAAAGGAAAAATGCAACTTACAAGTGATGTTTTTTCTTCTTGTTTGTTCTCTTTAACAGAAAGGGTTCAAAGACACCAGTCAGTATGTTGTAGGAGAATTGGCAGCACTAGAGAATGAGCAAAAGCAAATTGACACCCGTGCCGCGCTGGTGGAGAAGCGCCTTCGCTATCTCATGGACACAGGTACGGTGCCCAATTACACTGTAAACAGTTTTGGCAAATTGAGCGTTCACAAACTCTTATAGAGTTTTGGAAGTGTGAATCTTTGAAGCCTGAATGTTCAGCAAAACTGCCTTGAAAATAAAAAGGCTGCGATTTGCAGCCACCTCTCTGGGCCCTGGTGATAAGAGTGCCTTCATGGGAAGTGATAACTTGCCCTGATACCGTGTGAGCCAGCACTATTGAACAGTGTGCTCATCCATGCAGAGTTGGAATACACATCTGTGCCTCATTGATATGCCACTGCTTAAAAAAAAAAAAAAAAAAAAAGTAAAAAAAAAAAAGTAAGATCTTCACTGTTCTACTGATTCAGTGGGAAAAAAAAGATTTGGCCAGCTAAAGCCATGTACTGCATGAAACAGAGCACAGTACATGGGGGAAGGCTCCACTGACTAGATCACTGAAATTTGAGAATACTATCTGGTTACTGATGCTACACAATTATTTTATTTATTTATTTATTTTCAGGAGAGTGGGTTTTAAAAGTCTGTAATGCTTGGTGTTGTACGTGCAGCTGAAAGGATTAAAGCATATGGGCGATTTTTTGTTAAAAGCATGATGGTTTTGATTTCTGTGATGAATGTTAGATGGATATTAAGTGCTGATGGTCATCAGAGATGGAGAGGTTTAACCGCATCAGCTGGGAACAAATGGTGCTTTGATATTTCGAAAATAAATAATATCGCAGGTCCAAAAAGTGTTCTTCCTGTCCCTTGGGGGAAAAAAGTCAGTTGGTCCAAATTACTTTGTGGATAAATTGTCTTTATAAGTTATATGTATATCTGATGTTATAAACTTGAAGCCTGCCTTTAACTGAAATAACAGATTTTAAAGTAGATTTTGAATCCAGTGTTATGTTTTGAAATACAGATGAATAGACTTTAGTTAAAGTTCAGTACTTTGAAGTGAGCTTGCCACATGCGTCCAAATATTAGGGTGGTTTTTTTAAATGTATTTACTTTCTCATGTGCTCAGGTGGTTTGACTTTTTAAACTAGTTTTACAAAAACATGTAGCTCAAACTATTTCTGTCCTGGATGAATGCTTGTTTAGTAGGACTTCTACCTGTTACGGTCTTTTGAAGTACTTTTTCAAATGCATTGCATGACCTTTAGTTATTTAGCTAGAGAAAACGTAGTGTATATTATCCCGCACTTTCTTGTATACTTTGTTATATTTGTGAAACGTATATTCTGCACAAAAGAGCCAGTACAATGTTTCACAAGTCTTATATGAACTCCGAATACCGCCTCTAGTCATGGAGTCATCACTGTAGCACTTGGGGATTTTTAAAACTCTAATAACCATGTTATTATTTGATTTGTGTCATTTATTCCGTTTTAAAAGGTATTTCTTAGATTTCTTATGTTTTTTAATTTCTCATATTTTGAAATATGGCAAAAGTTGCTGTATTCTTCATGTCATACGCACAATGAGATGATGTTTCTTTTAAGTATCCTGCATAAAATGGGGAGTCTAGCACACAACTAGAGTGGCTTATATAGCGTAGCTGTAAGGGTTGTAACAGGAATACTAATGAATACCCGTCGCTTCTTTGACTGGGGATAAGGGGACAAGTAGTGCAGCCATAATAAAGAAATTACTTTTATATTCTTGATCATTTCCTGAGCATTCAGGATTTAACTTAAAACAAATTATTTGACAAGTCCTTGGTAAAGATCCTATTTATGTTCTCAGCTTAAAAACATGATTAGGAGAAAACACGTGAAAAGTGGGGTTTCTTACCTGTAGTTAACTTTATAGCCTTGAAAGCAGGGATTCTCAAACTTCTCTAACTATGGTTCACATCTTAACAGAGAGCCTATCTTGTGTACCACCTCCCCTGCCAATCAATATCCCATTTGTTGTCAGACAACATCCCTGTGGCAGCGACTGCAATCACTTACATGGAAAAGTAGTATTAGGAGGGTTTGGGGTTTGGGTTGGTGGTTTGTTTTTTTTTAACAGTCTTTAACTGATATGGTAGTGGAAAATAATCTGAACATCTCTTTTTGCTATGCCTTTAAAACACTGTTGTGTCAGTACTGTTTCTGTGCCCGATGTGCAGTCCCTTCCACCAGCTCCTCATCTGCCTCGCTTTCCTGCAGGCTCTTCTCCCACTTGCTCCTTCTCTCTCCCTCTCTGGTGCCTATTGCAGTTGCTTCAGAGGATCTGCTGTATCTCATCTCATTAGTGGCTCTCTTTGACAGCAAGGCACTTGTTTTTCTTCCCTGCCTCTCTTCAGGAAATAATTCCTAATACAGACAAATAAGAAGGTTGTGCCTCTGTCTTAGTCCCAGCTTCTTCTGTAAGGGTCCGGGCTGCTTTGCCCGAGTGTCTGACTGTCTGAGAGAGAAATCTGGAAACAAAAAAGATGAGTCAACACCATATGACCTGCCAGCTTGCCACAGACCACCAAGTGGTCTCTAAAGCCAAGTTTGAAGGAAGAAAGTAACCACAGCCTGATAGCTAGAAAAACCCTGAAGGGCTGTTGATGATGATCTTGGGGTTTTGCAAATACTCCCCTAGGAGCTGGTACATACCAGAAAGATGAGAAACATGAAATGCTGCCAGCTCTCAGAGGCGTGCTGAAAAGTCTTTTGATATTTTTTTTTTCTTGAAAATGCAGGCTTTAGGAACCAGGAGGTCACGTGGGCAAGTACAGCTGAAAGATCCCAAAAACACAACATGAAGGACAAGAGCCATAAATGAATTGGTTTTATAATTAACGTTCTCTTTTAAGCACATCTCTCTCTTAATTATGTACTGCTTGGGGTTGTAATACTGGAGAGCCTCAGGCAAGTAAGAGTCCCTGCTGACCTTATTCCTCAACACCTGAAGCAGGGTGCCGTGTTTGTACAACTGTATGGGGAAGGGCTTGCACTGAATTGTCCTAACGAATGTCTGGAGGATGATTGTCCCCATCAGTGTAGGAGCACATTTTGTATTGGGATTTTCAGCTTTGTTTCCGTGTGTGCCAAAACCATACAAGATAAATGAACTGGGAGATTCACATCATGACTCAGTCATTGCCTTGAAATTAAATTCAAGAAGAAGGTAGAGTATGGTCTGCTCATCCCTGTTGCATCTGCTGGGGACTGGACCATCTTTTCCTTCTCCACTGTGCTTGGCCGTGTTCTTGATTAGACTTTTACTAGGAAGAAAGCTCTCTTTCTTCCTTCTTATCCTCCTCCAGCACAAAACTGGGGGTGGTTTTTTTCCAGTGGGGAGATTCTTTGCCACCTGGCAGCTCTTCATCCTCTGAGTTTGAGAGTCCTTTTTGTTGTTCAGCCAGGAGGGATTGTTTCAGGCTGCAGCTTGAATATCTATTCTGGCTACATTCATTTCACAGGAAAAGACTTTATCTCCTGCTCCCATGTATCAAGGCATTAAAACAGGTGGGAATTTCCTTACTGCGGGCTAGTGGTAAGACCAGAAAGATACAGTGACTAACCCCTGGACAATGCAGGCTTTGGTAAATGTGGAAGAATTCATGGCTTTCACCGTTAGGGAAGCAGCTGTAAGTATAGACAATGTATGTTCTAGGTTGGATTCCAGCTCATGGCACTTCTTGACTTCGTTAGACACTGCACTTGCTTTTTAGGGAAAGTTTCAGGCACTTACGATTATAAATAAAAGTTTGAAAATGCCACTCTAGCTGTACTGGGGCGACAGTGGCTGTGGGTAGCTGCAAGGAGTGGATCTGGAGGTTCTCTGTGCCCCACTCCCTTTCTGCCATGGACCAGGAGGACAGGAGTCCCCGACATGATGCTCTCTAGTCCAATCCCTGGGATGCAGCCTGGGTTGCGGAGGGGTCCCTTCCACTGCTGCCCTTGCATCTTCTGCCCTGCATTAGGAAAAAGGCATCTAATGGAAATGGGGCTGTAGGAAGAGAGCCCAGGTCCTCATCTGCACGTGCATTGCCATTTTTTGGCCCTGCAAGACAGCCTTTTTGGCTGGGGAAGCCGGGTTTCTGGCTCTTGGCCAAAGGGGAGCCGATATTTTCAAAGTTCATCAGCCAGGCAAAGAGTTTGGAACTGGCTGAGGCTTTCCATTTCCAGCGCCAGCTGCTCATGATTTGACTAGAAACACTTTTCTAAGATGTGTGAAAAAATAAAAGTTATTAAAATTCCCGGTTGCTGATTTCCATTTGAATCTGTATAGTCACACTTTTATTAATATCCAGTAATTTATGTCACTGGTGGCATAACCTCAGTCCTTGGTCTTTGCACTTAAAATGAAAATGTAATCTCACCTTGTTCCAGTGAAATGTAGTTTACTGGTACATTGCAAAACTGTGAGGGGAATCAGTGCTTCAGTGCCTTGAACTCCGTAGAAGCAGCTGATGGCATGTTTGCTATCACTGGCTGGCTATACGTAAGAGTTACCTATATAGAAGGGGGTTTTGCAAGATACACCATATGAAGTACACCATCACAAAAAATTCAGTGGGTGCAAGTGTTTAGAGAAAACACGGTGCAGAGGTTCACGTAAGAGGAATGAGTTGTATGATTGGGTATAAAAATCACATAATCTAATATCATTGATTTCTCTTCTTCCTCTATTATAATGGCATTAAACGATGACAGGATAATCTTGCTTTCTTCAGGATTGTGCTTACCCATGTTGTGCCTAACCTGTTATGGATAAAATAGTTTTGTCTCTACTTCTGACAGTGCCTTTCTGCATTGCAAATTCTTCTGTCATTGTGTTTTTAAGGTGTCTGTCATCTTGATATCCAAGTGCCAATTAAAATGCAGAATTATCACATAATACAATTAAAATAAAAAACAAAGAAGCCTAGTTTACAAATCTCTAATCTAAATTTAGTTCTTTTTCGGTTACTATTTTTTCACTAATTGAGAAAACAACTATTTGAAAAAAAAAAATTGCAGCTATCAGATATTTTGTTATCTGACCACAGGGTATGAAGTGTTTTTAATTGTTTTTCTGATTAACTGCAGG